AAAAACTGTTGCTAAAATTTCCATGAATATCAAGTTAAACTGGTATTGATCATGTCAGTTCAAAAGTAGGACAGTGGTAATTTAGAGGTGGAAGATGATGAAAGTAGTTGGAAATAGTAGAGGAAATGGCAAAAATACTAATGAGCACAGTTTATTTTTGTAAATACATACATAAATAATGCATGAATGGAATAAATGTAACAGGAGGTACACAAGCCTACCTAACAGCTAATTATTGAAAAATATTTAATACAGAAACTTGGCAGAATAAAAAACCTAACCAGGTGTGTTTTATGAATGAAAATGAAAATATATTTGACTGGATTCTGGATGTAATTCAACTCCTGAATTCATACTCAGCTCAACCTGACTTTTCTGGATGTTTTGGGTTAAAGGGTAATCAACAAAACTGGGGAAAAAAACTCAAATGTTGCATCACTCTAAAACTGTGAAACAAACTGGTAACTTTTTACAAGAGTGTCAAATCACTCATAAAGGTAAACTTCCTGACAAATGAAAAATGTCATTTTAACTTTCTAGTTGATCGGTTTGCTTTTAATCATACATGGACCTTTCACCTACAACAGTGCATGTAGGTGAAGAGCATCAGTCATTGTTGTCATCTGTATACTTTGTTTAAAACAGGCCACTCTTGTAAATGAGTCCTCGAGACTCAATGACACTAACCTGTATAAATAAAGTTTGAATTGAACTTGAATTGTTCACATCAGTACTTAACTGAGCTCAGAGATTATGTGGCAGGATTGTTGGTTTATGGCTGACCACTTTGAACATTTGGGAAAATGTGGATCTTTTGGGGTTTGGATGCACGACTTCTATGGAGTGTACTCAGAATGGTATAAAAGCAGGGAGGAGGCAGTTCTGTGGAGGGTAACACCTTTCTGATAAGGGAAGTCCAAAGACAAACAGCCCGACTGTTTAGACCTGAACAGAATACCTGCTTAAACTTGTCCTCATGAAAATGTCCCAATTTCTAGATGAGAGTAAAAACAAGAGGTAAATGATCTCCTCTGAGCCAAGATCAGATGTCTGAGGCAGCAGTGGACAAAACAAGATCTGGCAACTGGAGTGGAGAACATTACCAAATAAAAGTAATAGATAATATGATGGAGAAAACAACTTTCTGTTTATTTAGTTACACTCAGACATAGCCAGTTGGTGTTCTCTTAAAAAGTTTTCACTGTTTCCACACTGTTTTATATAAAAAATTATAACATTTTACTTTCTAATATAAAAAATAAATAAAGGGTGGGGAAGTGGTACACCACCAACACTGTTTATAGTGGGGATGGTGTGCTGCTGTCTTCAACTTGGGATGTCGTGGGTTGGTGGGCAGAGTACTTCAAAGACCTCCTCAATCCCACCAGCACGTCTTCCATTGAGGAAGTGGAGCCTGGGGACTTTGGGTCGGGCTTTCCATTCTCTGGTGCTGAGGTCACTGGACTCTCCCTTAGAAATAGGGTGAGAAGCTTGGTCACCTGGGAGAGACTCGTAGCAGAGCCGCTGCTTCTCCACATCGAGAGGAGCCAGCTGAGGTGGCTCGGGTATCTAGTTAGGATGCCTCCTGGACGCCTCCCTGATGAGGTGTTCCGACACATCACAGAGGGAGGAGGTCCAGACCCAGGACAGGCTGGAGGGACTATATTTCTCAGCTGGCCTGGGAACGCCTTGGGATTCCCTCGGAGGAGCTGGCCTAAGTGGCTGGGGAGAGGGAAGTCAGGGCCTCAGGCTGCTACCCCTGCAACCCGACCCCGGATAAGCTGAAGAAAATGGATGGATGGATGGAAAAATTTAATATTTTTGTATTTGTATATTTCTACAAATATTTAACCTTTTTACTTCAGTTTCCCAAAGACATTCAAAGTTCATTTGAATGACAAAATGAAGCATTTTTATTTAAACAAAAAAGAAGGTATTGGTTTCCCCATTCTAACGAGATCAGCATTTTGGGAAACAAAAGTTGAGGAGCACTGATGCTTTCTACGAAGGCTTAAAGTCTGATCCCTACACTTGTCTCTTTAATCGGCACAAAATCAATAGCTGGCTGCAGTAACCTGAAGCAAATGAGTTACAGCAAGGTTCTCCAACACGCTTTAATACTTCACTAGTAGAAAAATGTTTTAAGAACTGTTTTGTTCTGTAAAAATGTTTCTCAACTGAAGATAAAAGATCGAGGTTCCTTAGATTTAAATAAAATCTTAGCAGAAAAGTCTGTTTTCAGATTTAATACCTGTGCACCCTATAATATTTCTGCATGAATATTTACTGCTTGAATAATGCCCTCAATCTGCTTTCTGTGCCAGACATTATAAATGAGCATCGCAATCTCAAATACATACCTATAAAGCATTACAAGCTACACAGCAGTAAAAGTCTCTTTTTCGGTTCACAGTTGTTTGCTTTAGCAGCTCCTGTGGTTAAACAACGGGGACTTTGGTAGGAAAAGTCTTATAAATAACTGTTTTATGGCATTTTTAATCAGAGAAGCAGGACTTAAGAAGCTTTTCAATGAGGCTATATGTCTATAATTAAAGGATTTCTTTTATTAGGGATATTTAAAAAAGGTTTGCTTGATTGATTTGGGTGTGAATAATAATAACATGTTTCACCTTCAGTGTAAAATGTCAAACTGGAATGCGGTTTTGGATTTCATTCATGCAGTTTATCCAGAATCCTTATGCAAATGCATGATTGATCCTGCTGTCAGCAACACATGTAATATAACTGACTGCAACAAGTACTCAATGATATTTGAAATATATAATAAAGGTTATTTTGTTGCCTTGTACATGGATACAGTTATTGCGCAAAGACTTGGATGCATCACCATCTGTATTTTGCAGCAGTGATTTTCTATTATGACAAGAAAAACGTTTTTTTTCTTCCTTTCCTCCTGTGAATAGACTAATGCAGCCTTTACCCCTTAGAAAAACTCTCCTTTTTCAGTTTGGTCACTTCAAGGCGACATTATTAACTTGGAGGTCGTCCAACTGATGCAGCAGTTGCTCCTTTACCAGTCCAGTGTGTGCATGTTCTGGCAAGACATCGATGTATCAAATTACCCCGAGAAGCTCAGTGTTTTGTCCATTCATTCTTTTTTTTCTTTTATTTTTATTTCTGTTCAGCGATGCAAGGAGCTGGCACTTATCTCCAGTGGTTAAATGATTTGTTTCAACAAAATTTACTTACGTAGAAAGTACAAATTTAAAAGGACTGTATAAAAATAAAACATGGCAAGTGTCTACCCTAATAACAATCAGGTACAAATTGCAATTGTTATTGAAGTTGGCTGATTTTCAAGGATAAAAAAAACAATGACAAAAAGCAAATTCTTATAGAGTATACAATTAAAAATATAAGTTTTAAATGTTTTAATATTTAAATGAATGTGTAATCCAGATAAGTTAAAAAAAAAAGTACATTTTAGTTCTCATTTTCCAAGACTACCTGTCTCCTTCCTTCATACCTTTAGGTCACTGCAGGACACACACACACACACACACACACACACACAAAATACTTCTTTGACCCAATTCTTCATCACCTTAGTGGAATACTGAGTGAGAATGTTGGTTAGAAAGTTCAAAAGCTCTGCAGTCTTAGCTTAAGTACAGAAGGAACACTTTGCACAGACAGGTCAGGAAATGAAAATATAATTAAAAGCAGCAGAGTGAATTCAAGTTCTTCTCTTACAGGAATTTTATTTATGTTGGGGCTCTTTGTCCAACTTCTCATCAGGCATATAATATCTTTAATGGGATGCAAGGCTACCCAGTACTATAAAGATAAGTAAAAGGAATACATTTTAGACAGCCATTGCAAAAAATAAATAAAATAGAATCCTACAATTCAAAGCAGTTCATTGGTGATAACAGAGCATGTAGAAACATCAGCTGAAATTCAATAATGGTCAATCAGGTCATCTGGACAGTTTCATTTTTGTGGAAAGATGTTTTGCCCGCTATCCAGAGGGCTTCATCAGTCTGAGGAATCCCAAGTAAACTGTATTCCCCACTAAGCAGTGCACTCCAACTGGTTTGCTGATGATAAGATGGTGTATCTGTATATAAATACAAAAATAGGATCATGCTAAGATATTAATATTTGTGTTCTCTCTGTTGAACAAATATGGAAAATTGGAACACAACCAATTGATAAGTATATATATTTAAACTTAAAATGTTTGATTAATATTTACATTCCCTGTTCTGAAAAACGTTATGCTGTTGTGTTAAATGTAAATAAAAACAGAATGCAATAATTTGCAAACGTCATAACTCCATATTTAATTCACAGGTGGATAGAGTCAAAATATAAAATGTTCAAACTAAAAACTCTGAGTTATTTTTAGAGGTACAAATAAAATTTTTGATTTAAAGTCTGTAGAATCTTCCACTGAGAATCATTATTCTGAATTATTTAGACACATATGTTTTGCAGACATGTGAACCTCTGCCCATTTTAACTTTTAAGAGATACAGATTTTCCAAAGTGCTCTTTTATTCATTTCTTTCATCGACCTGTTGCTATTAAACCTGTTGGTTTTTTAGATGGGTTGCAGTCATAAAATTCAAAGTTGCATCATTTTTACAACTAAAAGCAATTTATGTTTTTCTGTTCAAACATTTAATGTTTAAAATATTTTGTTGTGATTAAAATATGTTTGTGAAATTTGCAAACTATTGCATATTGTTACATTTCACGATGCGTTTCAGCTTTTCTGAAATTGGGTTTATACATGAGGACTAGGTTATGTGGAAAAGGTGCACGGATGCAAAATGTGATAAAAACAACAAAAACAAAAGAAAATAATTATGTTTGTGCTATATGAAGCAACGTTCACTGCACACAGTAATTAGATTTTAATGCTGTTGTGTCTGCAGCGCTCCACTGATGGCTTATTATTCAGAGTAGTGCTTCGAAATGTCCCACCAAGAACATTTTGGTTTGAAGCAGTATCTCCACTGAGACGGCCCTGACATCCCTATAGTACATCGGCCACACACTCACGGACTCTCTCTTTGCCAGATATGGGTGGCAGCCAAATGGTGCTATTTACTGGAGCAGGACTGGCACTTCTCCAGACCATGAGGGTAGCAGGCTTGGCAACGCAGATCGCTGATGGACTCATTGAAGCGGTTCGCCAGCATGGACAGCTTGCTGCCATGACACAGAGAGCAGGGAGCGCAGCCCGAACCACCACAATGCTGGCAGCTGCCGGCCTCCTGGAGATAGAAGAAACACATTACAGGAGGGAAGAGAGGAGCTGTGAGGGGAGGCAGGGAGTAAAACAGTGAAGAAATGGTAGGAATGGGGAGACTCACATGAGGAGCACAGAAATGGCTCAGAAAGGGTTACTGACAAGTTCACAGTAAGGACAAAGTCCTCACCTGTAATGATTCTAAATGAGATCATTAGGAAGCTGTGAGCAATGATTTCTGTCTGCTCATCAGACATCAGCCTGTGGTTTGTTACCTTTTTAACTACATACATCTGTCTCTATTATCATATGCAGCCATCATAATCAAACATCACTATGACGTACATTACAACTGTTTTAAGGCTAAAGAAGCTATGACTGCAGGTCATTTTATAATTAACAAATGTTAATTCAGTGAAAGCCCTTTGAGAAATGCAGAAGAAACTTCAAGGTTCTTTATTGTCATTCGCATCACATGTGGCACATGAGGTGGAACGAAATTGTGTACTCAAGGTCCCAGTTACA